GTTGGATGATTTTTGAAGTAAACATTTGAGAGGGCGTGATTATTAATATGATATGTCATTATCATTTGTGTACATGAAGCTGTTAGACCTAACAGAACTCATTGATAACTGTCTTGGGGTGAACTGATGTTTGTAGGCACATGTATGTTTTGGGTTTGATTGAAGACAATTTTAACTTGACTATTTTTACTGATATGAAATGAAATGTTATTCTGTGGATGCCCTCATGGAGATTCAACAGCATCACAACTAGACCTACAGTAAATATATTATTAGATTACTGTCCCCGGCTGCTGCACATTTCTACCATCCCCAAGTACATACTGGCGTAGAAAATCACGACAACTACATGCATTCACTTATTTGTTTACTAGATAAAATATACTTTATGCATTGTTTACCAAGCAGGTTTGTGTGATTCTCATCTATCAACAAGTGGTATACAAAGTAGACAGTTTAAGAAGAAAATGGATTATTTTCCGCATTTTATATAGGAATGGGTGCTGTCCTTCCTTCCGTCCATCCGTTGTGTTTCGTTTCCAGAGATGAACTAAAAAAACATGAGAGATATTTTAATCAAACTTGGCACAAAGATAGGTCTGGTGGTGAACTGGTGCCTTTTGTTAGTTTTGGATTTTTTAAAAGTTTATTTTTCGAGTTTCTATGGCAGTGACATCGATTTAAACTGAAAATGGCGGTAGTGCTCGTGTCCGGAGCAGATCTTGAAAAACGTACAATATTTCTTGCCTTGCACACAACCAGACATGACATATTGGCGGGGGATATGAGTATTTCATACTTGTTATAAATAAGATGCCTCTGGCTTCACAATTAAGAAACATTTGGATGAAATGCTATTGATTTATTTGCTGTGGCCACAGAAACAAAAACTGTTTTGTTCTAGTATGATTTTACTAATGTATGACACCCACAACAGCAGGGCACGATGACATCGACTACACTGGGCCATAAGGGATTAGCCAAGTCACCAAGCCTGATCACTCATTTTATTTAATAGGCTCATTCCAGCAACCAGGGATACTGGTGACCTAGTCTCCCAAAGAAACCCCACAGGAAGATTCAAATAAAATACTCCTTAAACAGATGAAAGATACTCCTTAGACAGTTGTATGCAATTCCAAGCCAGACTCTGCACATTTTTAAGGCTGGGGATTAAATATGTCCCCTGATGAAGTGGCCCTGAGACATTGTCATGAACAATAAAGAAGTTCTTATCGATTAAAGTTTCATGTCGTCACAGATTAAATATATTTATGCGTATGAAACAATATTCTCCAAAATGTTTGAAATTATTTATCAAGTAAATATTTTTGTGTGGACTAATTTGAATAGGGACCAGCAGCAGATAATGACCCTTGTCCAAGATCCCCATGCAGCAGAAGGTATTGATTGGGTGCAGACTGCTGCAACACTATCTCACAGTTCCTGGAATATCCAGGAGACTTGGAGATCATACTGCTTGCTAGATATGTATTTGTACAGGTCAATCTGACATCAAGAATTACATATTGATTTGAACATGTCCTTATTCCTAATGAATCCAGTGTATGTATTTACATGGATGTTCAGTGGAAAAAGGGGACTGGGTTTTCCATGTTGTATGAGTAATTACAAGTTGTCATGAGTCTTGACTGAGCTCTTGACACTCTGATTGAAATGTTAGGCTGTAGATGTAGGAGCATAATTATATAACAATAGGCTTGCAATGAAGTGTCTTACAAGGGTGTGCATCAGAAGCGAATAATTATGATGATGCTACTAATGATATGTTGGATTCAGACTGGTCATTTATCAATTGTATTTGTATCATTTTGAATGGTGCATCAGATCCATATTTTCAAACAAGGCTGGCTAGTTATATGGATGGGCAATTTGGCTGATAGGCACATTTTTCTTTTTTCAAAAATATCCCCATTACCTCAAGGTGTGTCATTTTGGGTTGATAATACTTGTCAGTGATGTTCAAATGCCAAAACTATTTGTTGTCATTAGAATGGCATGAATAAAATATCTTAACAGAAAAATGACTGTCCGTTTTTCTTCCTTCCTACTTCAGTATATTTTGTTATTGACCCCTCCTCCTTGGGCTGTGCTTTTTGGGGGCAACCGTCCTCTGTGTCTCATCAGGGGCGGTCGGGTAGCCTAGTGGTTAAAGTGTTGCACGTCACGCCGAAGACCCGGGTTCGATTCCCGACATGGGTACAATGTGTGAAGCCCGTTTCTGGTGTCCCCTGCCATGATATTGCTGGAATATTCCTAAAAGCGGTGTAAAACCATACTCACTCACTCACTCACTCACTCACTCACTCACTCACTCACTCACTCACTCACTCACTCACTCATCTTCCTGCCTCACATGCAGGAAAACGGGACATTTTTACCCTTTTCGCAAACACCTGGTGTCATCACTGATTTTCAGTGATCCATTCATATAATTTTCACTACTGTTTTGCCTCTTACGCCCAATGGACTGTGTTTCAGCAGATATTTGAGACTGATTGTACTCTGGCATTGACGTTTTCTATATAAGCCGTGATTCATGAAGAAGGAGGGGAGAGGTCCAAGTGTGTATGATGAAAGTGATGAAAGACGTGTGGAGTTTAAGATGATTACTCAGTATCTTGAGAGTGATGAGGAGCAACTCTATCGTATGATCCTGGGTATCACAGGGGGTCTGCCTTGAATTTCACTTTTCACACTTGCTTTTCGGAATTCTCAAGAAAGCAAGAGGCAAGATGTTGGGTGTCTTTCCTATTAAGATGAAGCATTTAAAGTGTGCCAAGCTACCTACTTTTTGCGATCACACTCCTCAGCCAATGTGAGGCACGTGTACATCACCCACTGTGCAGTTCCCTGCACTAGACAGGCTTGCGAATTAACTTGTCATGTCTGATTTTGATCTGCTTCATAAAGTTGCTGGTGCAACTGTTTGGCAAGGAATATTACTTTAAACAGCGACTTGTCAAGTGTAATTGAATGAGATCATTGTACCTCCTGTATACAATGCTGTACAGCATGCCTCGGTTACAAACTGACAACCACTTGATTAACTTGTTCTGGGAGGAATTACCGAAAAGTCAATTTTTTTGGAATTAATTTGTGGAAAATGTCTGTGTTGTTTGGGATAACAGTTTTTTCAGATGATTGTCAGACAGAATTGCCTGTACAAAATTTTATGAAAGAATATTGTTTTTCTTTAATTTTCAGTCTGTGAGGTATTTTGACATTTTATTCATAAAGATCATTCAGCTTGCTGGGTTGACATGAACAATTTCTAGGTTAAGTCAAGGAAAATACAATGAACTGAGGGAGATGATATTTTAGTGCTTTGGTATGTTCAATACATGTTACATCATGGCTGCCGGTTCATACTAAAAGTTAACATGGGAAATTAATCTGAATAAGGATTTAGGGTAACATATCAATTGTGGATTAATTTAACTGAAACTTAATATGTTACAAATCTGTCAACTGGAGAATGACTGCATACAGTTTAGTACCATGTGGCTTGTATATATGCTGTTTTCAATAATTCCCGGCATTTCATAAGCCTTCAGGTAATTCAAAATTATATGTAGCTTTTTTTATGTAAAAAAATTAACAAAAATGTGAAATTCTCTGAAAATAAACCTCAGGGGAAGACTACATGCTTGAGAAACTCCATCAAATAACTATTTCACAATTGATGAAATATATTGATCCAGAGGTAGAGTCAAGTCCAGAAGAACTTGCAATGACCTCCAATGACCTCTGAAGTATCTCCCAGGAGCTGTTGGTGTCACTGACAGATGTTAAATTGTGTTACAGCCATCTACGCTCCACTGATTGGTATTGTCATGTAATTATACCTCTCACTAAACAGAGGCACTATAGTCTCCTGAGAGGCATGCGAGATGATTGGTGCTTGTGTAACTATGCCGATCTGCCTTCATAGTTGCTGGCACCATGGCATTTGTCTCCAGCATCAAAGTATTGATGATGAGGATGGGAATGATAGGTTGTGGGGCAGTCCGCAGTTCTTCACCCCATAACCTGCATTTTATGAGGAGGAAGATAATAATGTTAAAAAGAATGATCATGATAATTATCATCTATGAGCATTGGGATCCCTGTTTGTTTGATTGTCAAACCATAGATATGTTACATGTAGTTTAGAACAGCGGAGTTCCTGTTGCAATGTGGCGTCGATACGGCAAAGGTGCATTAAACCTTCAGGGATCTATCTAGGCTTTAAAATTAAGTGATCTGATCAGGAAAATTGTGAATTTAAGTTAGATTGTCTTAACATTGCTTTCAATGTAGTAATTGTAAAGTAAGTATTAATACATCTTCCTCTTTATTGGTACTTTTGTCAGTGCAATACAAGTCCCCTCTTCAAAGCCATTACAGTGGTATAACTATAACAACACTGAGCTGGTAAATTTACAATTCCAGTTTGGGAATTTGTGCTGACATTTGATGTAGACTTGGGGCAGAACATCAGCCTCTGAGCAGGTCTATTAAAGATCAGACCTCACTTACTCATCATTCATGGAAAAACACAATTCCACAATTCCAGATATATGACCACTGTCTGTAAATGATCAAGTCTGGGCCAGACAGTTCAGTGACTGACATCATGAGCCTTGATCTTCAAAATTGGGATAAGATGACATGCATCAACTATGTCGATGAGTCTGATCGCCCAATCCCGTTAGTTGCCTCTTATAACAAACATGGGTTGCTAAAGACCAATTCTAACTCAGATCTTCACAGGGCTTATTCAGACTTTCTCTGAGCTATCCTTCAGCTCATGCAGTTATGATATCAGATAGACCCTAAGGCACTGGTGGCAAAAATGAGTTAAATGTTTCATTGAATTTTCGTTTTGTACAGAAATAAGATGCTTTCATTTTGGTTTGTTCTTATTCCTTAGAACAATAAAAAGGTTACCTAGGTAACATACTCATTGTTATTTGATGATATTGTTTTTATTACAGAACCGGGGCGCTGGCTTGGATATGAACGTCAGGCAAGCATGGAACTTTGGGTACACAGGGAAAGGTGTAACTGTTACAATATTGGATGATGGAATAGAAAAGGATCACCCTGACCTGAAAGATAATTATGTAAGTATTGTATTGCCTGTGTATATCATGAAGGAAAGAGACCTGTTTTTGCTGTGTCAGTGTAAACATTGTATGTTGTCTTTTCTTGTGCTGAGTATATGTAACTCAAGGGTTATGCAAAGCATGTGCATTATACCACTATACACTTGATGGACGTAGACTCCGGGTTCGGGTAGCTGGGTTGCTTCTCTTAAGCATGGCAGGTGTGCCCAGCATCAAACCCTTGCTCATGGGTTTCACCAAGGTGGTAAACATCTATGACCTTGGTAAACATCTATGACCTTGTAAACATCTATGACCTTGGTAAACATCTATAACCTTGTAAGCATCTATGACCTTGTAAACATCTATGCCATTGGATAAGTCTCTGACCTTGTAAGCATCTATGACCTTGTAAACATCTATGCCATTGGATAAGTCTCTGACCTTGTAAGCATCTATGACCTTGTAAACATCTATGCCATTGGATAAGTCTCTGACCTTGTAAGCATCTATGACCTTGTAAACATCTATGCCATTGGATAAGTCTCTGACCTTGTAAGCATCTATGACCTTGTAAACATCTATGCCATTGGATAAGTCTCTGACCTTGTAAGCATCTATGACCTTGTAAACATCTATGCCATTGGATGAGTCTCTGACCTTGTAAGCATCTATGACCTTGTAAACATCTATGCCATTGGATAAGTCTCTGACCTTGTAAGCATCTATGACCTTGGATAAATCTATGACCTGATTCACGCAAGGCAGTGAAGGACGTTTCAAATTTGCCGCATCAGAAACTAAGGCGTGTTGATGCTATTCCCTATATTGACTTGTACCATTTGTCCTGTTTTTTTTTCAGGTAAACAATTGACTTGCCTTTGCATGTGTTTGTGACAGGTACCACCAGTGGAGCAGGATATGCTTCACTAACACCTGTTATTATCACTATTTGATAGTGACTCATAAACACATGATACAGTCAGGAATTGTACATTTGACTCTTTTAGCAGAGATATCTTGTGGCTACGGAAAGGGTTTTGTCGCTTTTATTTACCTTTCTCATTAAGCTTACATGCCATACACATGACTACAATACTGTTTAAATTGGCATTCTTTAGAAAACAAAGACATTGGATAAAACAATGATAGTACATCAAGTATTTTCTTTGTTAAGAATGGGCTTTACAAATCACTGATGGTTCTAGGAGCGATAGGTTCAAGGGGGCTGAAGGCTATATGTTCATTTCTGTATCTTGGAATATGAGTGCAGCTACTTGGAATAGATAGAAACATTGGGTCTGAAGATGGCTGATTCAAGCAGGTTCTCCTCACAACATGAGAATACTGTGGAAACTTGAAACACTCACCTGATCCATTGTTATCCTCATGTTCTTGGATGGAATAGAAAACACTCTGTGTTGGACTGGTCAAATGTTTTTGTGTCATCAGCAAAACATGTCTATTTTTCACACAATAATCTTGATGTTGTAACACTTATTCTCTTTCAGGCATCATTTACATATTTACAAGTATATTGTCTTCTTTACCAAGGAAAAAATAAACAAAGTGGTGGGCTTGTAAACCAAACCGACTTTATTTACTTATCTGTGACAGCACAAAAATATTGTGCAAACCAGTTTTCTGTGCAAAAACCTCAAACCATCGATGAAATGAAGGTTTTGCAGACAGTGCTTGTTTTTATACCAGCAAGCAGTCAAAAAAGTTTGCTTTTTTGTGTCCAGTATATGCATCCAAATCTGTTTTTACCATGTGATCGCTGTCCTGAATGACAATTTGTAAGCCAAGAATCTGTTTAAATGTTTGATAAGAACAGGCATATGTCAGCACTATGTGTGTGCTTTTCAGCACGGTGTTTTTATGTACAACGCTACAGCTCCCAACCTCATGTAAGTTACTCCATTCTGGGAGCTGATTGTTTGTTTTGGTTGTAGCATATCTCATTGTGTTTATCTGCCCTGAATTTGAGGACATTTTCCATTTTCCTGTTGAACATCAAAGACAAGTCAGTTTATTCAGTATATGAGAGTGTAATGGTTCCACATCTACACCAAATACTGCACTATTTGACTTCAGAATTGTTTAAAATTTCAGCTGTTTTCCTCATGTGAGTGTGCGGAAAATGAAAATATTGTCTAAAGATAATCTCCTCTAGTTAAAACTGATAAGGTATTGTCTCTGTATGTGATACAGTCTTTTTTCCAAATTTGATATTTTACCAGAAAATGACATTTACATGTCTTACTTGAAGGCATTTGATCTTTATTCAGCTGTTAATGTTAATGTAATGAATTTTAGGTACATGTTTGTACTACCCTGCAGCTTCTCCATGTTTCTGATGGAGAAGATTATTCTCTGAAAAACCAAGGTTAGATTACCTGAAAATGTTGTGAGAAATATCTCCAGCACATACACGACACATAAGAGCTCCCATAAACCAACCGTTAAGGGCAATGAAATTTGTTCTTGTCTCTTCCTGAACCTGAGATCAAAGATCAGGTATTAAACAGCCTGTGGCAGAAGATGTGCAGAAGCTGCTGCTGCAGGTTTAAGGGGGTTGGACTGCAGGGGCGGGGAAGGGAGCAGGGAAAGATCGGGAACTGCGCTTTGAGGTAGAGACTCACAGCTGGAAAGTGTCAGTCACAAAATGCAAACATTTATTCGCACATGTAGTGAAGAGCTTGTTTCCATTGCACTTGTGAGTGGTGAAGCACTTGTATCTCCTGTGGGTTGTAGCCCTGCCAACTGGCACTGTTCTAACTTCATGATATACTTGTATACATATGTCATAGACTCTGATCAAGGAACACAGGGGAGGAGATACACTTATACAAGCCAATAACCAACAGGAGTCAGTTTGTGATTATTGCAGCATTTCATTATCAAAATCCAAGAAACTATATTTTGTGGTTCTCATGCGATGGACTTCACAACTTAGGTCAGTTGTAGGCAAATCATAGTTTATGTGTTTGACCTAAGGATATTTTGAAACTAGCAAAAGTTGTATTTTAGGTACATTTGATAAAAATATCAAAATAAGATTGTTAGAAACAACCAATAAATATGAGCAGTTTTTTTTATAAATCAAACCATTTCTTTGGCTAAAGTGTATAGAGAGATATTAAACCCTATGCAATTCATTTAAAGAAAACTACCTGCATAATAATAATACATTTATATAAACATAGATCTGAATATTAATGTTTTACCCAATTTTATTTTATCATGTAAAACCATCTGTACTGGCTTTAAATATTTAAAAATATATTTATGCAATTTGTAACATGATAAGAATACATAGATAATCATTTGAAGAGCCCATGAGATTGAATCTGCAACCTGAGTTTCTTCCATCTTTTAATTATGTGTATAACAATACAAGGCACTTAATTGATTTTTGAAAAGACAACCAGAAAAGCACTGGCTTTGTTGTATGGCACAGCCATTTTGTATTGTCTTGGAACTTAATGCTAATAGCGGTTTCCTGTTTTCTCTGACACTCTGACAAGGGAATATTTTACATCCAATTTTGTTTTCCATCTATTTCCATGGGATGAGGTGGTGATTAGGCATCACATGATGTATGTACAGGAAACGTGTCACTTCACTCTGTGGTTTTTCAGGGAACAATGGCAGATTCTGCTCTAAAACACTGACATTATTTTGCATCCATATTTATCTTATTTCCTGCATGGAAGATGTGCCAAATGGTAAAATCCAAATGTTAAGTTAACTCATTATCTTTGTTTTGCCATCATTTAACATGTATTTTTCAAAAATAAAAAGCATGTTTTAAATGAACTTGGCAGTATTTTGGAATTTAACAGTTTACTGTCTGTTTTTTTTCATCTAATGCACTTAAGACCTGGGGAAGATGATGGATGGAGAGACAATGGTTAGGTGAAGGAACACATTAATAATGCCCTGTAACAGTTTAAAACATTTGTGTAGAAGAAAGCTTTTGTTATGTTTCTAAGGTACATGAATGTTAATACAGATTTCAAAATAGCTGTACAGTACAATTAGCAGAGAATATAATCATTCTAAATCTGAATGTTACTTTTGGAAATGCTTTGATTAGTGTTTTGATCATGATCAAACAAAGCAAGTACACATTATCCTTCCTGTAGCACATTCCTGTTGAGGTTGTTGATCGGGTTGGGATCTTCGTCTTCATTGTAATGCCTCTTTACTTGAAAGTTTAGATTCCTTCATCTGAGAAATTACTTGATTTGCAGAAGGGTCCTTACTTATGAGAGTCTTTCCTGTATCATTGCTCGTCAACTTTGCTCATCAAGTTTCAAGAAGAAACAATAACTAAAGGTCATCATGGGTGCTCCTCATTAGGAATTGTTTCATGGATGTCAGCAGCAGAAGCAATCGTGGTCAATCAGCTGCTGTTGCAATTCTAATGAACACTCTACCCTGGACTTGGCAGAAGAAAGAGCTGATCCCTTTTAACCTTTCTTCCACCTTAATTCAACTTTCTCAAAGGAAGCTCTTTCTGTACTCATGCCTGATTTGCAATGCAACCCTTATCTTTTTCTTGACAGTGGTTTTGTTCCAAGGTCTGTGTTTATGGGTGTTTGAAATTCAAGCATTTACAAATTCGAAAACAAAGTGATCCTCTTTCTTTGAGCTGAAAGAAAGCAAGGATGTATTATTCTGGTAAATTTAAAAATGCCAGCTTTCCAGTTGCACAGTTGCCAGATGAGAATATTTTAGATTTTAGTCACAGTCGGAGTGGGTAAATTAAGCATCAATGTCTAAGGGTGTTTGAATGTCTCTGTCGCAGGAAATGTTAAGGTGTAAAAAGCAACTGACAAATTCAAATTTATTCACTCATGGGATTTTGTAAAAGTTCATTTGAAACATAAAAAACATAGCACAAGCACACACATTGCTTAGTTTTTATGCCACTGAAATGTGCTAAATACTTTTCACTCTGCTGGTCTGGACTAGGTTTTCAGCAATGTTTCAAGAATATCATGATGTTT